CTGTGGAAGGAAAGAAATAATCTTTCCTCACACCTGCCATTGTCAGAACACTCCAAGCCAAGTTCTTTATCTTTTTTTAATTTCTTGACGCTACGGTTGCCACCTTGTAAAGTCCTCTCCACTGCTGAAATGATATTGGGGTTTCCAGCAAAACTGCTAATAGCTGCCATTGAGACCTGAAGCATGTGGCTATCTGTTGACCTAGCCTTTTTAATGCTCTACTCAGACCATTGTAATTGCAAATACAGTTGAGCCACCGATTTCTAGGGCAGCAGCACAGAGGAGAACAGCAGAGGTGCCAGCAAGGTCATAGGGCAAAGAGGGTGAAGACCCCTCATTAACTTGGAACATAGCTGGAAGTCTCCACTTGCTCTGCTCCCCTTCACCAACCTAAGAGGTGGCTTACACATGCACCTAGGTTTAATTTTTAATGATCTGCTGTCTTTGTTTTCCAAGTATGATGTGTCTAAAACAATTGGAAAATCCCCGAGCAAGAGAGAAATGCCTGGGGTTGTAGCCCAAATGTCCTCTTTCCTTGCACTTTGAGTAATTAATTGTGGTCCCTCATTATGTTGAAGGGACCAGAGTAACCGGGCTGTGAGAAATACTTTTGCCACCATTGTGGAATGTTGACAATAGGTTTTGAGCAGGAATCACATTTCTGAATCCTTCTGTTATGGTTCTCTAAAAGTAAAGCAACCTTTTGCAAAGAGTTCGCAATTATTTGAATTTGACCAGCTAGAAACCTCTCTTCCAAAACCCATATTAAACATAAAATAAATCTTCGTACTTTTTGCAGCTTTGCAGTTATTCTGCTTAATTGTTTGCACCAGCCAAATTTATCCATCAGCTGCCAGAGCCCTGCTTATTTGCGAGTAGTATTAACCCAGCATTTTAAATTTCTACAATGTGTGATATAGTGAGCAGAGCATTCTGCTGAGAGTCTGGAGACCCAAGTTTCATCCTGGCCCTGCCACATTCTAGCTGTGTGACTTTGAGCAAGTCACTTGACCTCTCTGAACCTGTTTATCTGGGGTTTGGAGTAGTTAAATGATAAGAGCTCTTCTGGCTGTAAAATTCTACAATTGGCTCCACATATATTCATTTCATTTGGGACCACTTATCTCACCACTGTTGGCTCATGTTAACTGCTAAATACCATAGTACAACTTTGTAAGTGCTTATTTCAGATGATACTGAAAGCTCTTGGAAAACCTTGTCTTTCAGCCTTGCCATAGATGTGCTCTAGTGATAACCAGTTTCCACTTGACTATACATTGCTAATGGCAACGTTATGCACCCACACGAGCTCCACAGGTCTAACTTATTAATGGTCTATGCTAATGCAATTTCCAGAAAGAATGTTGTTATTAAATTTTCTGGAATTTCCACACAGCAAAACAACATATAACTGCTTGATAAATTACTCTGAATAGATTTAGTAATTTGTGTTAGGGTGGCTCTCATTTATGTAAGAAGCCTAAATCCATTTAAAGTTAATTTCTAATTTTCTTATATTTATGTCATTCAGAAATACACTGCTGGTCCAGGAGCAATCTTTCCAAAACCCAAGTGATCTATTAATTTTGTTTGGGTTAAAGCATAAAATGTGAACAGTGTGCAGTATCCACAGTTTGCCAGTTACTCTTCACAAACCTTCCAAATACGATCTACGAATTCGTTTCTCACATGGCTGAGATATTTCATAGCATCTCTGTATTTTATCTTAAATACAAGGGGAAAGATAGATGGATTTATTAAACCACAGTTCCTAACAAATAGCAAATTAACATAAAAATGTCCATGGACCGAGCAATCTGCATTTTATATTGCTTTTAAGGATTTTGGATGAAAACATAGTCCAAAATGCTGGGTCCTTTTCCATGAGCGTCTATTTACAAAATATACCCAAATGAAGATTCTACTTCCTCACTGTCATCATTATTTAAACATAATCACACTGCTGTTGAATTCTGTCTGATACTATGGTAGGCACAGTAGATAGAGCCACTTATGCAGTTATAACCGCAGCCCATGAAAGACAGGAGATGACAGTAAGATGGATTTACCCACATAGAATATACAGATTATGAAATATAAGCATCGGGTTGAATTCCTACAAGGAATGTAGAAAAGTGTTGAATTTTTAATGCTGTGCTCTGGTAACTTCTTATGCTTTAAGCTTCAGCAGACAGTTAATTACACACCACCACACACACACACACACACACACACACACACACACACACAAACATCAAGCACAGAAATGCAGGTAAGTGACTTAAAAATGGCTCACAGACAGAAAGTAGTATTTCTGCTAGGGATAATTTCTTAAGGAATTTTGAAAATCCCTAAATAATTTGAAAAGGAAATGAGATGACTGATTTTACTTTGCTTTAACCAACATAATTAATTTACTCACTATTTATTTAGCATTTATTGAGTTCTTACTATGTGCCAAGCAGCATGCTTTTACTAAGCTTAGTGTAATTCATGAGAAAAATAAAATAATCAAGAAAGAAATCTCTGATTCCTAAAGCACTTCCATTGCAAAATCTACAAACAAAGTGAATTAGAAAAGATGTTGTTAATAAAATATTTTAAATCTGATTCTTTAATATCAAAGAAAAATTAAAGAGATGCTATCTTAATTATCTTTTCATGCTATCACTAGAAATATTTCTGAATTTTGTTCCAGGCATTCTTTTGTAGTAAACAGAAAATATGATCCATTTGCATTTAACTTTGAAGATGTAATTAATCTGGTATCTCTATATTATTTGTAAGTAGATGATCCAAATTATATCAGACCTAATCCTTAACTGGGCAACTGTGTCTGAGCAGAAATGACAATTTGGGTTAATGGTACAGTAGTTAAGAAGGGTATGGCAAAATAAATTTTGAGAATATGATCATTAAAGTTGCATTTCCATATTATTTTAATTTGAATTCCTTATCTCTGGAGCTAGCACACTAGGTAACATCAGGAACGCATCCTTACCCCTATCACAGGTACTAAAAATGCTTCATCCTAGGTTTGTCTCAGCTATAGCTAGAGTGGCCATACATATCTTTGCTCAGGACATCCAAGTTTACTCCTGTTATCCCAGTATAATTACCATAGCTTCCAATCACACTTCAAATTAGTTACTCCCTAACTTCCAGCTACATTACAAAGCTATAATGATCAAAACACCATGGCATTAGAATGAAAACCTATGGATCAATGAAAGGAACTGAGAATCCAGAAACAAAGCCCACACATATATATGGGCAACTAATTATAACCAAAGAGCCAAGAGCATTTAAAGAAAGCATTAAGAAAGAAAATTCTCTTTGAAAAATAGTGCCAAGAAAACTAGACAACTACATGCAAAAATATAAATCTAAACTATGCTCTTACACCACACACCAAAAGTAACTCAAAATGTACTAAAGACAACATAAATTGCACACCTGAAATTTATGTTATGAGCCAATGTTGCCTCAATAAAAAATGTTTTTAAAATACATAGAAAAAAATAGGTGATAAACTCATCATGTAATCAAATGAGAAGTCTTAGAATGAAAAAGCTTCTGCAGAGAAAAAGAAATTGTCATAAAATTGAAAAGGAAACATATTAATGTGAGAAGATATTCACATATTCACTCATATGGCAGGGCTTAATAGCCAAAATGCATTAAAAAAACAACAAAAAAACTTAAATGAGCTGAGGATCTGAATAGATATTTCGCCAAGGAAAATATACAGATGGCAATTATAACTTGTCATTAGGTAAATACAAGTCAATATCACAATGAGATATCATTTCATACTTGTGAGAATTACTTATATCAAAAAGTCAAGAAACAAGTGTTGGATGGAGAAAATGAACCCTTGTACACTGCTGATGGGAATTCAGTCTTGTGCAGCCAATATGAAATGGATATCCCTCAAAACATAAGAGAAGAAATCCCATCTGATCCAACTAAACGGAAACACTAATTCAAAGTGATGTTATGCACTGTTATGTTCATTGCAGCATTTTCAATAGCCAAGAGCTGGTAACAACCTAAGTGCCATTGACAGATGATTGTATAAAAAAGATGTGGTATATATGCACAATGGAATACTACTGAGCTGTTTAAAAAGATGAAATTTTGGGATTTGCAATAATATGGAGGTTCTTATGCTAAGTGAAATAAGTCAAATGGATAAATACAAATACTGCATGATTTCACTGACATCTGGAAGATAAAGAAACTAAAAAATGAACAAACAAAACAAACTCTCAGGTTATAAAAACAAAATGTTGGTTATCAGATAGTGAAGGAAAGGGAAGTAGATGAATTGGGTAAAGGCGATTTATATGGTGTTGGGTGGAAACTACATTTTGGGTGATAATCATAATGCAGTACATACAGCTGTTAAAATATAATGCTGCACACCCTAAACAGCTATGTTTTAAACCAGTATTACTGGAATTGAAAAAAAAATAATATATAATTTTTTTAAAAGGCCTAGTTAGGGATGATTGATTACACAGTTCCCTTAATCATAATGCAATTATGATACACACCCAGGCCCTTCATTAGAACATAGTCTAGTCTTGTCCCAGCATTAGAAATGTGGTAATCTGCAAAGTTGCAAACCCCTGTGGGAATGTATAATCGACTTCCGCTACACAACAGACAGTTTTTGGAAGAAACAGGCTGGACAAATTACCTTGCTGACTCATGAACATCCCCTTTACGCACATGTCCTGTTCAGCCATCATTTTGCACCCATTGAATCCACTAAAAATTCCAGATGTGGCCAAATTCTCCTGGATGTTTCACATAGCCAGACCTGTCAAAAACTTCTTAAGAGCAGAAAATAGATCTTATTCACCTTGGTGTCTCCAAATGCCTTTACCACTCAGTGTTGTTTGTAAGAACCACTCAATAAATATTTGTTGAAATGTCTGGAATATCCAGTCAAAACACCTGGCTGGTGGCCTAATTCTTTACTTTCTTTCCAGCTATTTATCATCATGGAGACTCAAAGAAATCCAGAAAACAGACAAGTGCCAGACCTATGCGTGTTTATGGGGAGCAGTGCCCAGAGAAGGTAGTAACTTCCACACTGAACCCACTGCCTCCTCTTCTACTAACTTCTCAATTTATCTTCATGCTTTTTTCTAAGGCAACTAATTGGCCACATTCTATAACCCAGATATTCTAGAGTTAAGAGCCAGGTCTTCCCCCAACAAACCCATCAAGAAAACAGGTGTTTCCACCTGGATCTCTTGTGCAAATTAAGAATAGGGTTTCAGGACAGAATCTTAAGAAAGAAACACCCTCCACTCTCCATCCTGCCCTTAAATTGTGCAGCATCTAAAGATGTCATGACTTCATGCAGAAACCAGCCATGGTGATGGGATAATAGTGAGATAACGGAGAGATTAAAATAATATTTTGCTCATTCTGACTTTAGAAGTTGAGGTTTGTCCACAAGTTATTATTAGGAATTATAATATTCAGATAACCCCCCTACATTTTGCTGACGCATTTTGTCACCATTTTACATTGCATGCTGTTTTGCAAATCATAACTTTAGCACACTTGTCTCTTGGTTTTTCAGGTTACCCCAACAGTAAATAAGAGACTGCCTAGTGAGACAACTTGCTGGGGTCACATGGGAGGAAGTCAAAACTGCCGTCTAACTTGGTGTCGCCTGAATAAGGGAAAGGTTTTTCACCAGGTCCATGCTTGTTTGGAAAGCAATGAAAAGCAAGGTGAATTTCAAGCTGGAAAGAAGGGATATGAAAGAGCTGAACCCTGGACTCCG